AAAATCACAAGAAGAGAATGGAGGAGAAAGGATTGCAGTGTGACCATACTCCCTCCAGGGGGAGGCAGTGATTTTTTGTTTCTTGCCTTATATTATATACTTATATTTTAATATATACTTATATATAATATATACTTATATTTTAATAATTTACTAAAAGACAAGTTTTAGTTATGCAGTTTACCTGTACATTGTATAAGCAGAATGAGTTTCAATAAATCAATCAAATGCTCTTAAAATTTCCATATTTTTTATTTATATCAGTTAAGTATTGTTAATTGAAACAGATGCTGGAGTTATAAATGTTGATTACTAGTGAGAGCAGAATGATTTGTTTGCTTTTGTATGTGAAGATTTTAAATGATGTCGAGTAGAAGTGGAAAAGTCAATAGATTATGGAATATTGCATCTGATTTTCTTTGAAAAAGATTTACATGTGTACTTTAATACTGAAAAATTTTGCATGTTTAATGTATACATTTTGATGAGTTTGACATATGCATACTCTTGTGAAACCACCACCAGAATCAAGGCACTAAACATGTTCATCCTCTCTAAACTTTTCTTGTGTTCTTTTATAAGTTGTGTGTATATATGTTTGTGGTAAAAATACTATGAGAATTATCTAGATAACATATTTTAAAGTGTGTAATACTGTACTGTTAACAGTAAGTACTATGTAGTACTAAAGTTCAACATGTGTACTTTAATACTGAAAAATTTTGCATGTTTAATGTATACATTTTGATGAGTTTGACATATGCATACTCTTGTGAAACCACCACCAGAATCAAGGCACTAAACATGTTCATCCTCTCTAAACTTTTCTTGTGTTCTTTTATAAGTTGTGTGTATATATGTTTGTGGTAAAAATACTATGAGAATTATCTAGATAACATATTTTAAAGTGTGTAATACTGTACTGTTAACAGTAAGTACTATGTAGTACAAAAGTTCACTAGCACTTACTTATCTTGCTATTTTAGATACTTCATGTAAGTGTTATTATTTGTCCTTTTATTTTCTTTTTGCTATTGAGTTGTAAGACATTATTATAAGTTTTATAAGCTAATTCCTTATCAGATAGATAATTTGTGAATATTTTTCTCCCATTCCTTGGTTGCCTTTGCACTCTGTTGGATGTTTCAGTTGCTGTGCAGAAGCTTTTTAGTTTAATGAGGTTCTGCTTCGTCTGTTTGTGGTTTTTGCTATCTGTGCTTTTGGTGTCTAATTCAGGAAATCATCTCCAAAATGTCAAGAATCCTTTGTCCTGTGTTTTCTTTTAGGGGTTTCACAGTTTAATTCTTACGTATAAGACTTAAATATTTAAAGATTTACATGTCATAACTTGAACACAATCATTTTGAGTTGATATTTGTGTGTTGTACTAGGGGGTCTCGTTTCACTGCCTCAGAATTATTTAGTTTTACTACTTAATTGTGTAAATTTCCACAGTAAAGACAGAAATTAGGTAAGTATTATTGTACTTTAACTTGCCGGAGAGAGAGAGGCAGAGAGAGGGAAAATGAGAAATCACCTCCTGGGGGTATTTCCACACTGCCATCTCTTCTCCTCCATTCTCTCTTTGGAAATTTGGGCATGAAAACACACGTGTTCAGTGTGGTTTTCAAGCTGACAGGTTCATCAGCCATGTGGGATCCCACACTTTAAGCACTCTGCTGCTACCTGTTGGTCCCTTTCATTTATTATCTTTATTGCTAAACAGGATTGATGGCTTTGTGTTTTGAATATCGGCAATAGAGACCTATATATTTTGTGTTCAGATCCTGATTCATTCATTCAGCAGGTATTAACGAACATTACTCTGTGATTGACACTATTTTAGGTTTTAGGCAGCATTGATGAAGAATGTATGTGACTCTGCCCTAACAGACCTCCACTCATAGATAAGACATGTGAGAAGAGCCAGTTTAGTGAGGTACTTTAGGGTTCTGATTAGACACGTGAACTTTGAAATGTCTGTTATAAATCCGAGAGAAGAATTTGAGAACCGAGTTGGATGCAGAGATAGCATGTGTGTGGAAGAGCAGGTCGTAAAACTGTAGAACTGTGAGTTAGAGATGGTCTTAGGAGGTGAAGTCAGAGGAGGGCCAGGGCTTTTGGATTTTATCCTGAGAGAGATAAAAAGTGCATTGTGAGTTATGAACAGAGAAGGAAATAGATCTGACCTATAATTTGTACTGCTATAACAAAAATACCCGAGATTGGGTAATTTATAAACAACAGAAATTTATTTCTCACATTTCTGGTGCTTGGGACGTTCGAGATCAGATGCCCCAAATGTGAAGTCTAGTGAGGGTCTTCCATCTGCTTCTAAGATGGTGCTATGTTGCGGTGCTATGTTGCAGTGTTCTCACATGACAGAAGGTGGGAGAGCAGAAAGGGGCCTTCCTACTTTCCCTCAACCTTTTTTATAAGGTTGCTAATGTCATTCATGAGGGTCTATCTTCACTGTTGAGCACCTTCTAAAGTCCCACATCTTAATACTGTTGGATTAGGGATTTAAATTTCACCATGAAATTTGTAGGGGACATACACATTCAAACCATACCAATTATACATCGACTTTTATGTTACAAATCTTATATCTCCCTCCAATGTTACACAATATGGCTATCATTTATGGTCTGACTTTCTTTTATTTGTATGTTTGTTTTTGATTTAGTTTTTAAAACTACTAGTAGTACTATTTCTAAGGCCATTTTAACCATTCTATTTTGGGGACATTTTCTAACAATTTTTAAGCTGCTTCCTTACTTTCACACTGTCAGTAGCTTTGTACAATTGATGGATCCATTTAAGAACTCCTTTTTTTAAGAGTCACTTGGTGTCTTTATTAATTTGAGCTGCTGTCACAGAATACTTAAGACTGGGTAATTTATAATGAACAGGTTATTGGCTCACAATAAATTCAATCATTTTAGAATGATTGTATTTTCCAGCCTCCATAGTTCTGGAAGCAGGAAAGTACATTGTCCAGGTGCTGGTATCTGATAAAATTCTTTTTTGCTATGTTATAACATGGTTAGAAGGTATTACGTGGTAGAAGGACAAAGACAGAGAGAGCACATGTCAGAGAGAGAAAGTGAGGGCAAACCCACTCTTGCTATAGTGAACACACTCACATGATGAGTATTAGTCCATTCATTGTGGTCGACCCCTCGTGACCTAACTACCTGTTAAAAGTTCCCCCTATTCATTCTGTTCGTTACAGGCAATTACACTTTGACATGAATTTTGGAAAAAACAAACACTGAAAAAGCTTTGGTTAATTCCCCACACCTTTTACTAAGTGTGGGTATATGTTTATACACTCTCTTCTTTCAAAATTAAAAACAAAACAAGGTACCCAGCAATGCACAGTGGTAACAGATGATGCTCTGGGAGGCTGAAACCTGGGAAGACCTCAGGTTTGTGTTCAGGGATCTCTCTTAGTACACTAGGCAAGCATGTGCTATGCTCTGGGTCTGGCAGATGCTGGGGATGGATTATGGCATCAAGATTCTATTTGGAGTGCTGTCTCTCTCTCTCTCTCTCTCTCTCTTTCTCTTATTCTCTCTCTCTCTTTGGCTCCCTGAAGAAATAAATAAAATAAAAGCTTTTGATATTTTGACAGGAATTCAATGTAGCAATTTCTGTTCTGTAGGTTTCCTTGAAATGTATACATTGTCATTGTGTGTCACCTGTGAAATGCAGTCTATTCATTTTACAAGTTATTAAAATGTACCTTGCAATATTTTGGCTACCATTTTTAGCTGGCAATCCAAATAAGATTATATTTGGTTATGGTAGGAAGAAAACTTAAAAATTGTATTTTTCTTGGAAAACATTGTAAAATATCAGTGTTCAGCCTCAGGTTTGTGTTCAGGGATCTCTCTTAGTACACTAGGCAAGCATGTGCTATGCTCTGGGTCTGGCAGATGCTGGGGATGGATTATGGCATCAAGATTCTATTTGGAGTGCTGTCTCTCTCTCTCTCTCTCTCTCTTTCTCTTATTCTCTCTCTCTCTTTTGCTCCCTGAAGAAATAAATAAAATAAAAGCTTTTGATATTTTGACAGGAATTCAATGTAGCAATTTCTGTTCTGTAGGTTTCCTTGAAATGTATACATTGTCATTGTGTGTCACCTGTGAAATGCAGTCTATTCATTTTACAAGTTATTAAAATGTACCTTGCAATATTTTGGCTACCATTTTTAGCTGGCAATCCAAATAAGATTATATTTGGTTATGGTAGGAAGAAAACTTAAAAATTGTATTTTTCTTGGAAAACATTGTAAAATATCAGTGTTCAGGTGTTTATTTTTAATTACCAGAGGGCACATGTACTCATCAGAAACTGAGATGGAAGGAGAGGGAGAGAGAGAAAGGCTCCCCTCCTGGGGTGTGGTCATGCAGCAATCCTTTCTTCTCCATCCTGTCAGTATTTAGGCATGCTGTGTGCACACCTGTGCCTGATATATATTTTTTAATTTTAAAAAGTTTCTGTTATTATTCTAATTTTTTCCTACATTCAATCATTTTACATTACTACAGCTTGTAAAATGAATTACCCAACACGGATACACTTCACACCGGTCCAAAGACACCATACACATTGTCATTAGCAGAGAATCCTTCATTTCTTTGTCTCCTAAATGTCTTCCCTCATTATTTTTCTCCTTGATTCCTTTCCTCTCACTCTCTCCTATCTCCCATCCTTTTCCCACCCTGTCTCCAATATCTGTAACCATATCTTCTAATATTTCAGTTTCTACCATAGAGTGCAGACAGCTGACATGTTTTTCAAGCCACTTGGGGCAGAGATTTGAACTCTATTTGGCCATGTGGGACCCAGTTCCCTTAAACATCATGCAACAGCCCGTGAACCTAACTATTAAATGGTTTTATGAAATGAAATTTGGCTTTCAAAAGAATAATGATAAGAAATAATGTTTCTAAATTGAAAAATTTAACTTTCATGCATATTTATTTCTTTAGCATTTGTGGCATCCAACATCTGGAACGAATCGGGAAGAAGCTGAATCTCTTTGACTCCCTTTATTTCTGCATCGTGACATTTTCTACTGTGGGCTTTGGGGATGTCACCCCTGAAACATGGTCTTCCAAGCTCTTTGTTGTTGCCATGATCTGTGTTGCTCTTGTGGTCCTACCTATACAGGTAAATATAACCATATTAAATTAAATATTTAAGCCCTCATAAAATAGAGTCTTCTGTATTTAGTAGAAATGTGGCGTAGTGGTTATGTCGCTGAACTCCCATGAAGTCTACCGCTGTTCGAGTCCCAGACCCGATGACTTAATCTCACGCCAGGCATATATGCATGCATGCCCAAGATCCCAAGAGGAGAATGGAGGAGAAGGGATTGCAGCATGACCATCTCCCATGGGGGTGGGGGGTGATTTCTCGCTTTCTGTCTCTCTGGTGGACGCTTGTGCCCTATAGTAAATACATCTCCAAAAAGAAAGAAAGAAAAAGAAATGTGGGGTGGCTTATTTATCTAACTGTCACTACCTTATCACATGCTATAACATTTAATTAATTATTTATATTATTTCAGAAATGTCTATTTATATATATATTTTTCCCCTCCAGTTACAACTGATAGTACGTATCTCATTTGAATTCTTCAAGATGTTTTTTTCTAAATATAGGCAATTGAGCTAAATTATTCACAAGCTAATAGTATTTTTATTTGAAAGAGATTTTTTTGCTTTAAGGCATGTGTGCTCACTGGAGATATCAAGAGAGAAAGAGAGACAGAAAGCAAAACATAATCCCCCACAATAGATGGCCATGCTGCAATCTCTTCTCCATTCTCCTCTCGGGATCTTGGGCATACATGCACACGTGCCTGGTGTGTTTCCATCCGCCATGTCCAGGAATCACACACTTGTAGGCCATGTGGGAGACCAGTACCGTATCCACTATGCCACCTGCTCGCCCCAAGATAACATCGTTATAGTTGTAGGGTTATTCATTAAGGAAACAAGCTTAAAAGGGTTGATTTCTCTTGATTCTTGGAAATAAACCTAAAAGCCACTTACCGTACCGAATCAAATTGATTATGTGTGTTGGTCCACTACAACGGAGTCTGTACATGATATATAAGTATATGCGGCATACTAGGGAGTGAAAAATAGGGAAGTTACAAAAGGACAGAGAGATAAATTGGGACTAAAGACCCATAGATGTACTCTCCAACCCTTTTGTTTTTATTAGAATTATTTATCTTGTTTTATTTATTAGTCTATTTTTACCTTATTTTTTTAAGTTGTGATAGGGCACATGCACTCACCAGGGAGAGACACAGAGGGAAAGAAAAAAGAGAGAAAATGAGATAGCAAGCTGCCAGGTCCAGGACTTGAACTACGATTGACCATTTGGGAGTCTAGAGCTCCAAGTACCAGGTCACCTACTGGTAAATTTTTATTGCTAATAATTTCCAATGATAGTTTTCATTCGTAAGCATTTAATGTTCAACATGCCCATATTTAAACTGTAATTTCCTCGTGCTTGCATTTTCAGTGCCCAGCCCTTCTTCAACCCTTTTCCTCGATGAGCCTTGGGTGCACACGTATGAGCAAACAGGATACAGGAAATGCATATCAAAGGACGAGCTCCATTCCACAGCTGGTCAAGCTGTATGCGATCACGTTTAGTGTGGGTCCAGAGATGCCCTTCCCAATCCTGTCCAGCTATGTGTGTCTGCCTTCTTGGCATTCCTTCCTTGCACACTCCACATCACTCTGGTTCTGGCTATTGTAGAGGTAGAATGAGGCTTTGGTGTCATCGTGAGGGGTATTCCCATTGCGTGGTGTGTGGGTGGGACTTGATAAAAGAATATGGAGAGGGATCAGCAGATGGCATAATGGTTACATTAGTGAACTCCCACGTAGTTGACCATGATTCGAGTTCCAGACCTGGCAGCTTAAAACTCACTCCAGGCTCGTGTGTGTGTGTGTGTGTGTGTGTGTGTGTGTCCCCAGTATCCTGAAAGGAGAATAGAGGAGCAGGGATTGCAATGTGGCCATCCCCTCGGGGAGGGGAGGGATGATTTCTCACCTTCTGTCTCTCTCTGTCTCTCTGATGAGCACACACACCCTATAGCAAAAAATAAACTCTCAAAAAAAAAAAGGAGAATATGGAGAAGTGTCAATGAAGCTTTTCACTTTCATTCCACCCATAGCAATCATATCTGCTCTGCACATAAAGCACAGAAACAAACCTCTGAGTGGACGGTTAAGATACAACAACAAAATCATGTTTATATGTTTCCTTAGAGACCTCATGCTCCTAGGAGGCATTTGCAATGAGGTCTGTTTAAGAAATTATACATACCTCATAGACAGTAGATGTACTGAATTGATCTCTATTTTCACGTCTGGCGTTTTTATTTGCATGTGGAAAAAACATTGCAGTTCGAACAACTGGCCTATTTATGGATGGAGAGACAAAAGTCAGGTGGAAACTACAGTCGACATAGAGCTCAAACTGAAAAGCATGTTGTTCTGTGCGTCAGCTCACTGAAGATCGATTTACTTATGGATTTTTTAAACGAATTCTATGCTCATCCAAGACTCCAGGTACATTTGAATTATATTGTGCACTATTCTGGATCGTACCTACTAACATGTTGTCAAAGTCAATTAACGGATGGTGCAGCCTGCGTACTGAAGGGTTTTTACTTACACACCCACATTTAGAAAGCATAAATGAAGAACTACAAATATAACCAGGAACATAGGGAAAAATGCTGGGGGAATATACAGTATTTTGTGTTCTGCACCTATACTAAAGACAGATGGAATTTTGTTAATGCTACAAAGAAAGATTTTCTTTGAATTAAATTGCCTTTTTCTTCCCTGGGCAAAGCATATTTTTTTATGAAAGTGAATTTTAACATATGCAATAAAACAATGAAGAAGTCATTTCAGTATCATCTGCTCACTTGAATACTGCAAAATCGCATTGAGCATTACGAATGGAAATGTGACAGTCTGGAAGTTTCATTTTTCTTTTTGTTTCCTGGACTGTAGCTAGGTCCCATTTATAGTAGCAATAAATAACAAAAAAAATGGATATTAGGTAGTTGAATTAATGACATGAATTCAAAAAAATCTCTTTTACCTCTCTGGGCAGATAAAAATCCTTAGATATTTCTTTTTCTTCCCATGGTATTGGGCCAGTGTAGATTTAGGACGTAACTTTCCCACTTAATGCACTTAATCCTGTCCAGAGAACAAAGATATGTGATGGTCTTCTATTTCCTCAGTGAATTTGTGTCAAGAGATTGAGTAATCCCAGAGATCAAGACAGTGCTGAGTATATTGAATTATCCCTCCCTAAGGAAACAAAAGTGAAAACATTGATTTGTGAATATTTTAGAAACCTTTCTGAATGCTGCATTTTTGTATTTTCAAAAACCTAATTTATAAGTTGTGCTAAAATTATGTAACATTCTTTTGTTTTCACGTAATTAATTTGCCTTATCTATTGAGATAACTTGCATTCATTTACTTATTGGATTTTTTATTATTCATATAAATAATTTCCAGTTTGTTCATTATAATCCATGAAGAAAATCTATTTTCAGGAAAAGTTTGACCCTACAGTAATTAGCTATTTCTAGCATCGATATAGAGAATTTTTTTTAAGAGAGGTTTTTGTTATAGGGTGTATGTGATTGCCAGAGAGACAGAAAGCAAGAAGTCATCCCCTAGGGTGGATGACCATGCCATAATCCCTTCTCCATTCTCCTCTCGATATTTTGGGCATGTACACACACATGCCTGGTGTGAGTTTTAAGCCACAGGGTCCAGGGCTTGAACCATAGTTGACTACATCGACTGCTGGGAGTTCAGTGAAATAACCATTATGTCATCTGCTGGTCCCTCGATATAGAGAATATTTAAAAATTTTCAAATTTCTTACTAAATGTATTTTAGAACAATAAAATAGTGAGTATTTACTGGAGAATTTTAATTCCTGCGCATTAGTTGTTTTAAACTGGTTCATCACTCAGAATATTGTTGTATTTTCTCCAAAGAAGCCTATTATATATTGAAACAGTTTGATCTCCAACTCTTTTATTTACTCTATCAGTATTTTCAATATTTTAATGAATATTTGGCCATTCAAATACTTACCAGAAATTATTAGAAATTATCAGTTCATAATAATATTACTAATGATATAAATCACTATTGTAGTATTGATTTTAAAAGTAACAGCTCAAACTATGACCTTATACTTAACACTTCTGCCTTGTAATTGTGTCTATTTCAGGATCAGTATGTAGTCATAACTGAAAATATAGGCTAGAAGAAGGCACCAAATATAATCACTGATTGTCTTCCTTTTATGGTCTTAATAAGAATGAAATAGGTCAGGATGAATGTATCGAGTAAATATTTTTATGTACCAGGTGTCTTTATTATAGTGTAATGTTACATAATATCTACCCATGTATTAAATGTGACCTTTATTCATCACAAGAGTTTATTTCAGTTTTATTATATTTCAAGATTTTCTTAGGTATCTCAGATACCTTTTCTTAGCTGCCTTAATGTAACACTTTGTGTTAAGGTTTCTTTTTCTTTTCTTTTCTTTCTTTCTTTTTTTTTTTTTTTTTTTAAGAGGTTTTAACCTTAGGGCATGTGTGCTTACCAGAGAGAGAGAGAAAGACAGTGAGAGGGAAGGTGGGAAATCATCTTCCATGGGGGACGGCCATGGCTCAGTTTTCTCTCCTGCATTCTCCTCCTGAGATCTTGGGCATGTACACACATGTGCCCAGTATGATTTTTAAGCCACCAGGTCTAGGACTTGAACCACTTTCTGCCAAGCCACCAGGTCTAGGACTTGAACCAAGTTCTGCTGTGTAGGAGTCCACTAACATAACTGCTATGCCATCTGCTAGCTCCATGCGTGGTGGTTTCTATCTAATTGCCCATTTCGTTTTGGTCAGGATTATTATGTGGTGATTTTGTGTCCCACTGAAATGGATGTGCAGGTTCGAAGGGTTCTGCAGATTCCAATGTGGTCCCAAAGAGTTATCTACCTTCAAGGTTCAGCCCTGAAAGACCAAGACCTCTTGAGAGCAAAGTAGGTATCCTTGTCTGCTTTTTCATGTTGCAGCTTGAAGTTTTGAAAGCTTTAACATCTTTTTTCTTCTTCAAAGTTTGGAAATTTTCAATGTTACAAGATGTGTTTAATTAAATATGTTTCACTGTAGTGAAATTTTGTTCTAATCCCACTGCTGGTCAAATTGAATGGTTAAAAATGTAGAATCAGCATGTTTGCTCCTCTTTCCCATGTTGTCTTAGGGCAGAGATGGCCAGCAGATTGTCAGCGCAGCACAAAAAGTGCAGCATGGTGTAATTAGCCTAAGTGCCGGAGATACAGACTCACTGCGACAGTGGTTTCTAGGTCTCAGAATTCTGGTTTTCTTCTACAAATAATAATATTAGACTGAACATTATGTGAGGTGTCAAAACAGTGTGAGTCAGGGTTCAAGTTTTATAGAGATTACAATATATCCTCGGCAAACAGCACTTGTGTTGCCCTTGGTCGAGGCAAGAGTCCCTCAGGGCTGGAGGAATCAGAAAGGTACCAACTCTTAGCTACCCTCTTGCTGTGCATGTGACAGCTTGTCTGAAACATGTGTCATTGGGATGAGGTGATACCACGTGTGCTCACTGTGGTTGGGCAGACTGTGGACACCAGGGAATCTGGGTTTCTCCAAAACATTCTTAGTTTCAGAAGCCACATGAGGCCTTCAGGAGAAGTGGTTTTGCACCATGTTTTCTGACCTTTTAAAGCTATTTTTTAAACAGCTATTGTCCTGTTTACTTTGGAGCTGTTCTATATCCCCATTTGGATCTAAAAGTGTTCTTACTGAATTTTATAGCGTTTTAAAGAATTTTCTCTTTCTGGGTGGTGTGTGTGCTCGCACATGTGTGTGTGTGTGTGCATGTGTGCACACATGCATGTTTGTGTATATTTTCTATTTGTGTATTCATGTGTGTATGGAAGATGATGAAATAGAACAGAAGAAAAGTAAAATTCTTTGTGAAACTGAATCTCAAGATCCGTTCTGCTGCTTAATCTTGCAAGTGAGACTAGATACCTAGTTGGGAATTCTGATATTACTTTTGATTTATGAACAGTATAATAAAGTTAATTTAACTAGGTTTTTTTTTCAGTGCCTTAATTTGTGCAACAAAAAATATCATTAGAAATGACCAAGAAATCATGAATGGTACATAATTGGAGAACTTAGCTTAGCTTCTTTGAGACTAGATTAGTACTTTGAGTGGTTAAATACTTCTTATATATTGTCATTGCATAGCTTACTGTTCTCCAAGCCATCAGTTTTCTCCAGCACCTCAAGTAAACCCTGCCTCTAGGTCTTTATTATTTCTTATCGACATGGATTATTTGGTTGCTCTAGAAGAGCAGTTGCTTAGATGCTCATGTGATCTGGATCGTTACATTCACTGTGGAGATAATGATTGTACTTAACTGATGGTAGGAAAGTTAGGCTCATCACACATTAAGCATGAATAATGCCATATCATATTCAATATGAATTTATGTGATAAATGGAGGCCTTTTCTGTCTAATAAGTTAATCTGAGCTATTAGTATTAGTTATTACTATCTAAGGAAGATACCATTCAGGATTAACATAACTACTTTATCATTAATTGTAGTAAAAATGATTTCTTACCAAAAGCTATTACATTTACAAGAAGCATTCCTCTGTGAGAATAAAAAAGAAAGAGAGGGAAGAAAAGGAAGATAAAAGTGAGGTACTCGGCTGCTAACACCTGAAAAACTGGGTTAAGAAAGAAGCAAGAGTGACACACTACCCATTTCTGTTTCTGGTCCTGATTTCATATAAAACATTTGGGATTTAATGTTAACTAATACATTCTTCAACACAATTCTCCATGCAAGGAGCAAGAAGTTGTTTTCCACACAAGTTGCAAAGGTCAGTTGCATGTTTTTTTTTTTGTTTTTTTTTTTTGTTTTTTTGGTTTTTTTTTGAGCTTTTTGCTATAGAGCATGTGTGCTTGCCAGGAAAGACAGAGAGAGACAGAGAGACAGTAAAAGAGAAATCACCTACCGGAGGGCATGGCCACACTGCAGTCCCTTTTTCCTCCATTCTCCTCTGCTTTGTTGAAAATAAAGTTTGGAAAATGTTATCCAATACTCATATTATCTTAATACCATGGCTCAACATTTTTTTCTAGAACTGTTTGGTTTGGTCTGATTTCATAAACCCTTTTCTTTCCTCTCCATAGAAAATATTTTTTTTGGAAAGTGTTTATTTATCAGAGTGTACCAGAAAGATAAATCAGTCCTTATTTGGAAAATACACATTCTTATGCTTTTAAAACATTATTTATCAAGCACAAAAACATGCTGTTTATCACTAAACTTTAGAAATATAGACTATTGCCATGAGAGTAAGTGATGTGGAATGAGATGATGAATCAACTCTAGGAAGTATGAATATTTAGTAGAGTCTGCTTTTTGGATACTGAGTACCTCTGTTTCCTCTTTTAATGTAATTAGTCATGAAATAAAAGCTACTATATAACTGTCTCAATTTATTCAAAGTATATATGAAAATATAGAGTCATAAAAGAGAATAAAGCTCAGCCATTTTGTGTTTTCTTCTGTCATAAACTGTTGAGTTAAACAGACATCCCAACAACAGAATTTTGGTTCAGAGTAAGATACACTCCTGACCTGCTAGAAATTCAACTTTCATTTGAGCTTATAATCGATGTGTACTCTACGTGTACTTTAGGTACAGTACATAGGATAAGCATTGAAAGTCTATTTTCAGACAAGTGCAGATATTTCAGAGTGTGATGATTTTACTTTTCTGCCTGTGTTTAGGATGGATGATGCGGAGGCCTGTTTTATTCTGAGTAGCCGATGTGAAGTGGATAGGACCTCATCTGTAAGTTTCTAAACTCTCCTTTAGTAAGTTGTGCTTTCCACTTCAGAAAAAATTTGTTTTCATTCAGTTTTTAAAAAATTGCCAGCACTAAATATTTGGTGACCTTAGAATTTTCCTAAAAGGAAGCAACTATTTCTTAGATCTCTCTCTTGTAACGTAAGAATGGTTGCATCACTCCATCAACAGAAGTGTGTTTGAAATACTTTCTGTCATCCTCTGGTTTTCAGTTGATCAAAGTGAGGGGGGTCAGATATAAACAGAACTCAACCATTTTTATTTAAGGATGTCCTATATATTGATATTTTAAAGTGCCCTCAATTTCCTCACTCCTAAAACAAGGCACATGGATTAGGCAGTGTTTATTAGAATGAACTAGAAAATTTCTAAAAAGTAGGCACTGGTGAAACTTCTATCCAAGATATCTGAGGTAGGGATTTGGAAATTGTATATATAGATATTCATTATGTATACATTGGAAATATAGATATGCATTGTATATACATTGTATATATAGATACACATTGTATATCATCTCTCTCTATATATACATTTCTATAGATATATGTATAGATGCACACACACACACACACACACACATATTTTTTTTAACCATAGGGCATGTGAGCTCTCTGTGGAAAGAGACAGTGATAGAAGGAAAGTGAGAAATACCCCCCTGGGAGAATGGCCACACTCCAACCCCTTTTCGTCCATTCTCCCCTTGGGATTTTGGTCATGCATGCATTCATGCCTGGTGTGTTGTTTACAGGCATGTTTTTCAGGCCCTGGGTCTGGACTCAAACCACACTGTCAGCCATTTGAGATCCACCACCCTACCCATCATGTCACCTACTGGCCTGGGAAATTATATATTTTAACGAGCTCCTAGGTGATTCTGAAACACATCGTTTGGTAACCTTTGGTTTATGTGATCTCTGCGATTTTTTTTTTTTTTTGGGTGTAAAGTTCAATAAACTTATGACCTAATTAAATAGTATAAATCACCAAATTATAACTTCTGTTAGGTCACCGGAACAGTCATGACATATTTTTCTGTGTTTTTCTTTGCAAAAATACATCATAACTTTCCAATGACCCAATATTAAATGCTTTAATTTTTTTTTTTTTTGAGAGGTTTTTGCTATAGGGTACATGCGCTCGCCGGAAAGACAGAGACAGAAAGACAGAAAGCAAGAAATCACCCCCCAGGGGGGATGGCCATGCTGCAATCCCTTCTTCTCCATTCTCCTCTTCGGATCTTGGGCACATACCCACACGTGCCCGGCGTGAGTTTAAGACACCGGGTCCGGGACCCGAACCATGGTCGGCTACATGGGAGTCCAGCGACATAGTCATTATACAAACTGCTGGTCCCTAAATGCTTTAATTTTATTATTTTAAACAACACTTCATTATTTTATGCTGTGGAAGTACTGTTACCTCCTGCATTTCTAAGCCATTGAAGCTATCTCTAGCCACATCTGTGGTGCACAAATTAACAGGAACAATTGGTGGCTTCTCTGATGACCAGGGAAAAGGCAAACTGTGCATTAGGTCTTCAGAGATATGGGTTGTTTTATTTTTGAGCGTGTTATAGGCACACTCTGTTATATCGATTTGGACTGTAAGTCCCGAATGTGATAAGCACTGTATTGTCCTCACGCTACTTTATCTACACTTCTTACTCATTTTTAAATTTTTTTTTATTTTTGGAGAGGTTTTTGCTGTAGGGCATGTGCGCTCACCAGACAGACAGAGACAGAGAGACAGAAAGTGAGAAATCACCCCCCCAGGGGGGATGGCCACACTACAATCTCTTCTCCGTTCTCCTCTCGGGATCTTGGGCACGCACGCACATGCGCCCGACATGAGTTTAAGCCACCAGGTCTGGGACGCGAACTGCAGTCGACTACGTGGGAGTCCAGTGACATAGCCATTACGCCAACTGCTGGTCCCCATTTTTAAAAACTTTAAACCAACCTTTTCATCCTTCATTTGAAGAGTACAGCTGTGAGTTGAATTGAAGTCCTGACTGCCAGTACCTCCGAGTGTGAACTTATTCGTACAGAGGTTCCTGAGAGGTAGTCAGGTGATAATGAGGCCATGGGTGGGAGACACTGAGCCAACATGACTGGTGTCCTTGAGATAAGCAAAGATTTAGAGAGGGACCTATGTATAAGAGAATGCTGTGTGAAACCCAAGACAGCTGTCTCCACCCAGGCAAACTAATACAGTGACATATTCCAAGAAATGATGGGAAAATTTGTACAATGTTCCCTTGTAAAATACGTGCTTTTAAAAGTCTATCTGCTCGTCTGCTTTTCCACAGTTACTGCCCTTCTTCAGACCAGACCCTCCTCAGCTCACATAAGCACTACTGTAGTTTCTCGATCGGTTCCGCATAGCAGGTACCCCAAGCAGGTGTATTAAAGAAATGAGTTTGGGCTGTTTCTGCAATCATTTGACTTACGTAATTGTGAATCTTGTGTCTCTCGAGTGGTAACTTGGTTTTAAAATACTTGCAGGCTTTGTGTAACAAGGGAGGTATAAGCATTAGGAAATAAAACATCATGTCTTCTCGAGAACTCTTTACAAGGTGAGCTTGGGAGCCTTCAGTTAAACAACAATTTGCATTTTTGTCTAACGCTCTACTAAATAGACAGAAAATGAGTGAAAATATTTACAATGAGACCACAGGAATTTTGAAATGGATGAGCGGCAACCAGGCTGAAAGATGAGAGGAATTTAAAATGTAGGTTGAGAGAGGATACAACTCACAAGTAGGCTGCTTTCTTCAACATGACCTCTGAAGTCTCAGGAAGAGGCCCTACAAGTATGTTGTGTATAGGACTACATCTGCAACTTAGCAATGAAAAGACCTGAAGAGAGTGGATTCCTGAGCCCTCCACATCTCCATTGCTGGTCACTTCTCCAGTTATGGTAAAAGAAGTCTATTTTTGGAGAGAATTTGATCCAGAGATACCCTCATCTCAGAGACATTACATGTAGTTAAGGATCCAGGGACCAAGCATATCACCTTAACAGAATGTGAGATGTATCTACCACATGATTCTGAGAACTTTTATAGCCAAATACACACACACAGACACACGCACACTGATTCAAATAAAGATTTGTGTAGCAATCTAGATGAATTACATATTATGCTAATTAGATACAATATTAACATGGAGAATGCCGTATTGTTTGATAACAGACATTGCCCCAAGTCATGTACATTCTTAGGAAGGATCTGGCATGGTGGCTGATGCAGACAGCACTCATCATGTCTCCAAAAAGGATGATTAAACAGGTTCCACAATCCACACCTCCCCGCCTCTAGAATTTGGCTTAAATCCAACCTGGAGAGTTGAAATCTTGGTTCTTTTGTTCCCCAAGGTTATAAATACATCATTTCTAGAGTTTGCAGCTGTGGAAAAGCCAACTTGTTCTGTTCATGCCTTTTCCTGGTGACTACTTGAAGTAGTGGGTACTTGAAGGCTTGACCCAGACCAATTAGTTTAGTCATCTCTACAAGTAAATTGTTCTGTCTAGGAGTTAGGTTGATGAAGAGAATAAGTACTTCTTCCTTTATGATTACTTGGTTCTGTTATAATTTAATCATTCACGTGCAGTAAACTTTTCTTTTATCTTCATTTAGATCTTCCAGATAGTCCTTTTAGCATGCCTAGGGGTTACCCTTTTTATGGTCAGGTCATCATCACTGACGTTTCACATGCTCCCAGTGCACAGTGAGTGTCTTGGGAAAGCCAGGAAACCTGGGATTTTGATTTATTCTTATCTGACATATATTCCACCTGGCTCAGGACTGTCAGGGATCCTTAAATATTAAACAAGTTCATTACTTAAATTGGACTACATGGAAAAATTATAAAGGATTCTCCAGTGACATTCTCTCTATCCTACAAGTGGTAGAGAGGCCAAATTCGTTCCTAGGATACATACTCCATAGTGTGGGTTAAACATTGTGTCAGGGTTGGCCCCATAGGGCAGTGGTTAGGTGCTGAATAAAGGAAGCCGAATTCCACATGGCTGACCAGGGTTCGAATTCCAGCTATGGGCGTGAACTTCATGCCCAGCATACATATGTATGCCCAGGGTTCTGATGGAATGGAGAATTGGAAGAAAGAGGGTTATGGTGTGACCAGGCCCCTGATTCAAGGATGCTTTCTCTCTCTTTCTGCCTCTCATGTCCTCTGCCATGAACAACAAACGAACAAACAAAACAGTCTGTTGAAAGCACTGTTCGATAATGAGAATAAGCATGTAGCTTGTATTTCACTGTCACAGTTAAGGGGAAAAAGAAAAAAAAATGCTTTGTTTTAAAGAGTGAAAAAAAAAATGAAGTCCATTCCATTGAACCTTGGAGAGGTATTTGTTAAATACATAAAACTAGGCACTTTTTTCCCTTCCTTTAGCTTCAGTTCTGAGGATAACTATATGAAATTCATGAGTGGTATGCTTATGATTTATTAAGGAAGACACCTAAATTTTAAAATGTCTTTACTAGATGGGATATTTCTAAAATTATTTTGAATAGGTTAAAGTGGCAGCATTTTTGTGACCATATCTACAAATACTTGAATCAGGATAACCTGCTGGATGTAAAAAGAAACTGCAATTTTAAAATCTTTATAGTTCGATTTTTTATAGTAGGCCTAATTTTGAAGGGATTTTTTTCCTCCTTAAGGTTCTAAATCATCCTGACATGAAAATTTTCTTTTTACATTATTTTCCTTTATACAACATTTGAAAAATGTTGATTTTACACTATTTCTGAAGTGTATATTCAGTTATTATTGTCAAGTGTACAAAATTAAATTAATACATTATTTAATTGTTTTAATAACAGTTTTATAACCAGGCAAGACTCTGCAAATTCTAGTGTGCATTTTTCTTATCAGAAAGTGGCAGAATTCTGAATAACATCAAAAGCACTACAAAGTCATCTGTTTTGGAATTAACAATATTTCATAAACATA